CAAAAATGAAAACAAAAAAATAGATAAATAAAACTAAATAATGGAAAATATAGTTAAAATTTTTTATAATATAATTAAAACTTAGGATAAATCTTATAAATAATAATAATAATAATAATAATAATAATTATTATTATTATTATTATTACTGATTATAATGCTAATAATGATAAAAAAAATGGTTTCTAACCTTTGGTAAATTCTTTTAAAATTGGAAAAATAACTAAAAAGATAACCAAGAAAATAATTGAAATATAATAAAAAATTGTATGAAAGGAAAATTTTCTCCGAAGACAGATTCTAAGGTATTCTGAGTAATGATGTCTACAAAATCTCTAGGCAAAAAAATCTTTTTTAAAAACTACCTACGCATTGGAGTATTTATAAAAGAGGTTTCGATATAATAAAAAATTTTCTTTTTTGCTATAATAAAATAAAAATTAATGAAAATTACTAATAAGACTAATAAAAATGAAGAGAAAGAAAATTTTGACTGATAATTGGATTCTAAAAATATTTCAAACAGTATTGCTTTACAAAATCTCTAACTGAGAAGATTTTTTTTTTATATTACCAGTGTATTAGAGTATTAATAGAAAATCTTCAATATGATAAAAATTTTTCTTTTCTTCAAAACAATAATAATAAAAATAAAAATAACTAATAGTTTTTTAAAAAATAAAATAAAATGTGTGCATCAATATATTGTTATTCACATCGCATGCATATTTTTGTGAAAAATAAATATGAGCTTCCAAAAATGGAATTGTAAGGTATTTTAAGAAGCGATGCTTAAGAAATCTCTATGTGAAGAAAAATTCTTTTAATGTTACCAACGAACTAGAACATTTTAAGAATTATTTCAATAAAAGAGTTTTAATTTATTTTTCTCAAATAAAATGGAATAACACAAAAAAAAAAAACTAAAACTTCAATAAATAAGGAAAATCAAAAGAAATTATTTTGGAACATCAAAACTAAGACCATTTTTGTTGGAATTAAAGGATAATATATAATTAATTAGTATCATTTTAAACGAGTGCTGTTGGGGTACTAATCATTTCGCACACGTAATCGACTCCTGAACCTAAATTATTTCGCAAACCCTAAAATTATCTTTTTAATAAATTTTAATTAATTTTAAAATTTTATTAAAATGATATGTTTTAATCGGTGACCTATCGCACCTAATTAAAAAAGATTGGTAACGACTCCATTTTTTGTTTTTTTTTTTATTTTCACATTTGTCGACAGCTTCAAAATCGTTTACAATAGTGTTTTGAAGCTTCTATTGAATTTGAACCTATAGATAGAGGGAAAAAAAACTTTATGTACTTCTCTAAAACAAAAAGGAATAATTTTCCATGCAAGAAACCGGTTATATTTACTTGAAGATAGCTATAAAATCTATGGAATATAAAATGTAGCGGCCAAAAAAAGATTTGTTTGGTTGGACATAGCCAATTTATTACAATTATTTTTCTTGTTTGGTTAATGCAGGTTCAAGAACGATTTGAACATTTAAAAAAATGAAAAGCACCTGTAAGCTTCTCTGCGCAAGGTAGTCTTTTGTTTAAAAGCCTTGAACATCTTTTTAAATACAAATGTTGATCGCTTTTCAAGTAGGCTAAGGTTGATTTTCAATGAGAGGTTTCATGGAACTGTGCTACTTGAAAGAGCAAGGCTTCTTGAAAAACTGAGAAGCATGTCTATTTTTGCTAACAGGTTTGTGTTTATAGTTGTTTGTAAATTTGAAACTTATAGCTGGTGTATTGGTTTGTTATGGGTAAGTTTACTTATAGATTAATTCTATTTTAGTTAATATTTCTATTACAATAAGAAGCATCATCATTCAGTCATGGTGGTTCCTTGCTTTTTGCCTTCTGACAAATATCATTGTCACAGCAATGTTGCTCTTTGGTGGTTCTGGTATAGTGAATGCACTTACAGAGGTGAACATATATGTTACTAGCTTCTTAATACCACTTAGGGTAATTGTCTATACATTAGCAGGAGGACTTAAAGCGACCTTCTTGGCGAGCTATATACAGTTTATCATTGGTATGCTCTCATTCATTTCGTTAAACATTCTTTTATGCATATATTGTCTTAAGTTTGACCTTTATTTTTGTTATTGGGCTCCACAAAGATGCATAGCTTCAAAAATCAGGCAAATTCTCAAAACAGTCATTTAGAATAAATACAGGAAAAAGATTGTTAATCTACCATAGGATAAATACAACTATTTCTCTGTTACAATTCTCATCTTCAATTGGAAGAGTGGAAAAATTGGCATTTAGTAGTAACCATCTAATTACAAAGTGTTCTGTTAACAAAAAAAAAAAAAAAGAAAGAAAATTGAACTCTAATCCAAAATTAATTAATAAACAAATTAAAACTACTACCATAGAGTGGGAAGGGGAAGTGAAAGAAAAAAGTCTAAATCATCTAAGAAAAAGAAAGGAATCCTAAATTTAAGATCAGATAAAAGAGCTTGCATTAAGATAATAATGAAAATGCTCTTAAATGTCCCCTAAAATGCCATTTTGGATTGCACTAAGAAACCATAAAATAGAGGGAAAAGATCACAAATTTTAAAAACAAAAAGAAAATGCCACTATGTCTGTCTTACAATGAACAGAGGCAAACCCAATTTCATTAGCTATATCATTTACGGTAGACATTGAAAATAATCATAAAAATCAATAATAAGAAGCATCATCCCCATTGTAGATTGACACAGAGTTTGTGGAAATACTAGCATTCAGGTATTACATTACTACTGAATTTGTGGATGTCACCACTTCAGTCAAAAGATTTTTGTATTGTAACTCAAAATCCATGTAATAAATTTGTGTTATCCGATTACTGATATTTGCCTGTAACTCCATTCAGGCATGAACACGATGTGGCCTTTGAAAAGTCGAATTGTTTTTCATCTGCATGCTGAAACTTCTATCAACTCAGCTTATGGTTGATGATCATGAAATTCAAGCAGCCAAAGTTACATGGCCAGACGCATGTTTATTAGATTGCAATATTTATGTATTACTATTAAGTTTGGCTGCTTTTTAGAAAATCAATTTCCTTATAATTGCTATTACATTTAGAAAAAAAAGTCAAATGTTTCATGATTATCAACCATTCCAAATGCGAATGTTTGCAATATTTGGCTGCTTTTTAGCTAAATCAAGTTACAACTTGAATCAATTACAGCAGGCATTGAAAATAATCATAAAAATCAATAATAAGAAGCATCATCCCTATTGCAGATTGACACTGAGTTTGTGGAAGTAGTAGCATTCAGGTATTACATTACTACTGAGTTTATGGATGTCACCACTTCAATCAAAAAAATTTTGCATTGTAACTCAAAATACATGTAATAAATTTGTGTTATCTGATTATTAATATTTGTCAATAACTCTCTCCAGGCACGTGCACAATGTGGCCTTTGAATTGTTTTTCATCTGCATGCTGAAACATCTATCAACTCAGCTTATGATTGATGATCATAAAATTCAAGCAGCCAAAGTAAGTACCTGGCCTTTGAAAAGTCAGATTTGCTATTATTAGGGTAATCTACTATTCCAAATGCGATTTTCTTCTCTTTTTGAGCAACTAAAATTCAGACTTTCCTTGATCTGGGAAAGAGTTAAAAAAGCAGTGAGATTGATCACAACTTACCGCAATGAAACAGATTGGTTTCTGTTTAATCCTCCTCTTATAAAATTAGCATCAAGATTAGTTGTTGGCTTATTGAACATTAATTTTTGAATTGGCTATCATGCAGTGGATGCCTTTAATTGAATTTGTGAACCAACCACTGATTCAAGAAGATTATATGTTCAATAAAGTCATTGATATCTGCATCGCCCGTCTGGGAAGCGTTATTGTGGATTATCTGTACATCAATTAGCTTATAGGTTTGATGGCAAAACATCTTCTCTATACTATAAAGTTGTTGACTCACAAAATATCAACTGTATAGGCTACTGAAACAATTCAAGGCATTTTTGGTTATAGAATGAACAGGCCAGTTCTAGTTTGCAAGCTGGTGCTAAGAGGCATACAAGGTTTTTGGTGGGATAAATAGAGCAGGTCAAGGAACGAGTAAGGTTAGGTTTCTTTCATAGTGATACCTATGCTTTCTATTAGCTTTTGAACTTTATGTTTAATAAATACATGTATCCATTTATTCAAAGCATCAGTCTGATCATTCGATGATTGGATTTTTTTTTTTTTTTTAAATCGACCAAAACTCCAATTAATAATTGAAAACTTCAAATTTGACGTGCCCTTTTTATGTTCGTTTATCATTTTTATTGTGATTAAAAAACCTCAATTAAATACGATTAAAAATTTAAGTGATTAATATTATTGTAAAAAATACTATTAAATATTTAAAATATCTAAAAATATATGTATAAAATAATAAAATATTATATAAATAGAATAAGACAGTAATTTTTTAATTCTAAACAAACTTTTTCATCGCAAAAACACTTCCTTAAATTCTTTTTTTATTTGAATTTGGGATACTTTATATCACTTGAGTTTGCAAATCAGATTTTTAAACCGAAGATTCATATATTTCTTTTTATTGTTTAACATTAAGATTGAGTCAAAACCAGATTTTGAATACTTTTTAAAGCAATGTTAAATTAAACCTTAATATTGGAATCGAGAGTTAATAATAAATTTATTTCAGAATAGATTGACCAACAAATAAAAAGCAGATCAAATTATGTTGGAAAAGATTTTGATTGTAAAATTTAGATTCGACCCTTACAATCAGCAATCCGTTCAAGCAATCCCTTTGATGGACGATTATGAAAGTCCCTGCCAACACATGCAACATGCCCAGGTCCAGAAATGGGTTGCTTCTCCCTACCTAAGCTTTATATATATACATATATATATATATATATATATATATATATATATAAAGCACTCCATCAAACACTCGATCAAAATAAAAGTGAAGTGAGTAAAATTCTATAAGCAATAGTTCAAGAAGCCGATATTTAGAATGAGATCACATGGTGATAGTTCAGAACACTTGCCTACTCAAGCATCAACAAACTTTGAGAACTATAACAATAAAGAGTACGTTTGAATTGCCAATAACTAGATGAACATGGTGACTTTCGATCTTGAGTCACCAAATCTATTGATGTAAAGATTTTACTAATCAAAAGAATTCATTTCCTTGTTTACAAGGACAATCTGGCTCAGTACAATTCATGGTCGACATATTCTAGAAGATAAAACAGCAAAATTGAGAATCAATAAATAGCAATTCTACAATAAAAAGGGAAAAAAGAAAACCTATGATAAAATCATCAAGCTTTGATCTGGCAATTAATCTAATGAATAATGTAATCCAAAACATTGGTGGATTATTGCAAACCACCATGAACAATCAGTAGAACTTGTATTCTTGTTACTTGATTGCTAAAGAGAAGCACCAGCACTTACTTACCTACACTCCAAAATTGCACATCTGCACGAACTCCATTTCATTATCCACATATTTAGTCCAAAGATTCTTGTATTGGTTCATAGCAATGTCTAACCAAGGTTTCATGTTTCCATTATAATGAATGACTGCAGCATTATTGATCTCATCCATGCTAATGCTTGGATTGTATCCAAGCCCAAGCACATGCCAGGATTTGTCCAGTGATTTTGTCAATGAGTAGAAGGTAATCAGGCCAGGCGGAAGAGTATCCAATTTCCACAGAGTCTGATCCACATTCTGATTAAAAGATCAATTGAAAGTTAATTACACATCCATTTTAAAACTTCAACCCACACCATTAGTATAACTGAGGTGTAATATTCGGAATTTGAAGTTGGTAATTGTTTTTACTCCTAAAGTTGCATTATTTTTTATCATCATTTCTATCATTTCCAATTTTCAATCCAAAAACCACCCTAATACTACTAGGACTAAGCACTCATTTGATTTCCAGCTTCTTGTTAAAATTTGCAGGTAAAAACATTGTCGTTTTCTCCATCAAGATCAAGAAATGATCTCTAGGAAATCAAGAATCATGCTAAGTTGGTAGCAAATTATTAACCCTATTAGTATCAAACATCACTAAGATAACTTTAAAAGCAAATAATACACTTACCAAGTTCTGCCAGTTGTGATATGTTTCTGTGCATTTCTCACGCTTCCAAGCATCAAGATCAAAAATATTCATCCCATAAGCCCAAGCACAAGCCTTAGGATTAAACCTCTCCTTGATGAGAGGATGTGAAAAATTCAAATACTGAGACAAACGGTGAAATGACCCAAAGCAGGTCTCAATGGCCCCATTCACCTTTCCAGCCAAATCTATCTTCCACAACCCTGTCAAGTCCTTCTGAACCACAACATCATCATCCAAAAACAAAATCTTATGCAATTTTGGGTACATTTCAGGCAAATAAAACCTAAGGTGATTCAACATTGACATAGATTCAGGGTTCGTAAACTTCATGTTACTCCCATCTTTGGTTGCATTCTCCATCTTATTCATAAAGTAAAACCTCTGCATCTTAGCAGATTCAATCTGCCTCAATACTGGCGCATAGGAGGAATTCAAGATATTATAATCTTCCACTGCCTTCACCTCCACATGAGCGCCACCTTCCACGGGTCTCATTCTGAACCAAACTTTCATTGCAGCCACATTCATTCTATCAGTCACCACATGGAACACATGTTTCCAAGGCTCCTCCGCATTCTTCACCACAGACCTCACCACCACAGAAACCGCAATCATATTATCTGAAAATATAGCATAATGATACAAACTAGGATCCTCAAACTCGGCCTTAGGCAACTCTTCCTTGTACTTTTCGGGATGTGAAATTCTCTCCTCCACAAGCCTCATTGCCAAGCAATGCAAACTCTTAGGAATAGATTTGGCAGCAATCGAGCTTGCAAAAGCTCCATTCTTTTTTGCCTTACCTAACAATTCACTAACTGCAAAAATAGTATCTTTCAACTTCTGGATTTTCAACTGATTATCATAATTCTCTTTAGATTCAGCCATCAACAACCTAGCTAATTTCACTCTATCTTTCACTTCTTTCTCAAACTGCCTTAAAACATCCTCATCTAAATTCCCATCAGTTTCAAACAAAGAGGACTTATAACTCGGTTTCGAAGTAAGATCTGAGAAATTCTTAGCCAAATCATCAAACATTTTCAATTGCCTTGAAATTTCAAGCTTTAGTTTCCTTGCATAAGCTGCATATGCTTTCACTAATGTGATGTGATCATTGGCTTGCTTGTATATCAAATCTAACCTTGTTTTGAGCGGGTCTGAGTTCAATGCCAGAAATGTTCTATGCATGTAAGCATTTCCGCCACTTGGAAGCCTCTGCTCAAAAACCCAAAAATAAAAACAGTTAGAATATCTAAAAAGGCATTTGGAAACCCAAAAAGATTGAATGTTGAAGTATTAAAAGCTCTGCTCCAAAGACTGTCAGAAAAAACCATAAAAGATTAGATTTTGAAGTATTAAAAGCTCAGCTCAGAAAAGACAAGACCCATTTGAAAAACGCCAAAGGGTATCTAAAAAGCCAGAAAGATTTGGATTTCGATGCATTGAAAGTGAAGAATTGAATAAGAGAAATAAAGGGTATTTTACTGAGTCCAAAAAAAGGAAAGGAAAAAACGAACCCCAAGTTAGAAAATTGAAAAGGGTATCTGAAAAGGCCAAAAAGATATAGGATTTTGAGGAAATGAAAGGTGAAGAAATTGAATTAAGAGAAAATGAAGAACGCAAAATTACAGAGTGGTGATGTGTTGTAGAAGGATGAGTAGTTAGGAGAACGGTGACAGTGGCAATGAAGAGAAGCGAAAACATGGCGGAGACAAAGATCCTGTAAGAAAACAAGCTACGGAAACCAGCTCCAACACCGCCAGATCCGCCACCTCGAGTTCCCCTGACAGCCACAGCCATTGAATTCAGCTATCTAGACCGCTCTGTTTCTTCTGTCTGTCCCTTGAACTGATTAGTGAAACTGAAATGTGTTGAAATTGGAAGTTAAAAACAAAGCTAATGAGATCTGAGATTTGACGATGAAAGGGTTTGATTTGAAGATCTGATTTCCGCGTCGGTAGTGAGTTATTTATTGTATTTATTGACTATGCGAAGTGAAGAATGGAATAAAGAATTTGAGGAAAAATAAGAGTGGTTTGATCTTTGGTACGGGAATGGCTTGTTGAGCTGGTTAGATATTGTCGGGCTGACTGACAGTGAAGGCGGAAAAAGCCATGGGCCATAGTTTCTACCATACCTGTTTAAAAGGCACGGCTATTCGCCCAAGTCTAGATTTGGGGTTAAAACATAAAGCCCAAACAATGAGTTTCACCAAAAAAATAATGTCTAACATATCGGGCTTCGGATATATTTTTCTATATTTTGCATTTATATCATATAAATAAGGGTAAATTATGTATATATAACATGTAGTTAAATGTGATTTGAATTTATTTTTTGAGATTTAAAATATAATACTTAATTATCTTATGACTTGTTTTATTGTATTTTTTACTCAAAATTGTTACTTTTTCTCTTTTTTTTATTTTTTTTTTCATATTCTTCATCTTCAATTTATTTTCTTACTCTAAAATCATATGAATTCTCTTTTTATAAAAGTCATTTCCAATAAATTTTATTTCCTCCAATTCTCTCTCTAATGCTTAAAATTTTTTTTTGCAACAATTATTTTTTCCTAACTTAGGTTTTTTGCTTTTTTTTTTTAGAATTGAAAAAAACAAAATCCTAGATTCTATAAACTTGCCATCATTGTCCATTGTATTACTATTATCAACTGTTGCTATTGTTTTTCGTCACTAGTGACCACCACCGTAAACTAGAAAAGGAAACCTCAACGTTAAAGTCAGAGAACCCACAGTGCTATTACACCTTCTTCTGCCAGTAATGCCTCATTCTCTTTAGTTTGAAAAGAAACCCTCGAAAACAACCAAATCCAAAATCACCGAAAAACTATTCTTCACAAACTTAGAAAAGCAATATCAAATCAAGATGCAAATTTTTTATTTTACTCTTGGATATTCCTATTAATGGCGTTTTTTAGCTGTGATATTGTTCTTACTCGAGATTTTTAATTTTTTTGCTTATCTGTTTGTATAATAATTCTAAGTTTTATGTTTTTTTAGGAAAGAAATTTTTGCTGTTAGGAATTGTATCAAGCATTAAAAAATAACCAATTTTCATTCAATAGCCACACCAATTTTTAAAAACAACTATCAACAAAGTAAACAGCTTAGAAAAAACCTAAAAACAAATCCAGCAGTCACCAAAATTACTTACAGAATACAATCCACCCTGAATTACTCATACCTAGTAAACCCACAAAGCAACTACAAATCCACATAACAGACACAACAACTTATTAGCAAGGGTTTTTTTTTTTATGGGTTTCGATTTGAATTTTTTAGGAATATTTAGGTATTTAAAACAGATACAGAAAGAGAAAAAGAGAGAAGATCAATTGGTAGCACACACCACAATAGCATACTTTTCCAACATTTGATCCTCCACTTACTAAAGATTATGAAAAATACATACTTTCAGCCTAATTTTTCTTTGAAAAGTTTAAATCTGAGAAATAACAAACAAAAAAATTTTTGGGGAAAGAGCTAGGGTTTATTGATTAGGCATTAATGGTGTTAATGAAAATTAACGGAATGTCATGGATACACAGCTTAGGGTGATTAAGTGTTATTTTTTAAACCTTAAGGGGCAAACTTAAATCATGTTAAACGTCAGGGTATATTTATGTAATTTGCACTATAAATGATAAATATCTATTATAATAATACATTGTAAATATTATAAATGATTAATGTTAAGAATGATCCTTGAACTATAGTGAAATATTCAATGTAGTATTTGAACTTTAAAATTTTCTAATATACTATTTGAATTATGAATTTATTAACTAATGTGATATTTAATCATAACTTAATTAGCTCCAAATGATGATATGTGGTAGATAAACAAATTTTCAAGTACTATATTAATTAAAACAAATTCGTAATCCAAATACTACAACGAATTTTAAAGTTCAATATCGCATAAATATCTCCCTATAGTTTGGAGTTATTTGTAACATTATCCTTATTAGAAACTATGCTAAGTTATTTTTGCTTTAGAACTTAATAAAAAAAAGATAAAATTACTAAAGATTAAATAAAATTGATATATTTTTAAAAAAAATTTTTTTTAGGAAAAAGGTAATCAAAGTAGGCTTCAACTATACCATTTATAAATCTAGATTGAATTGAACAAAATTTGAGGCCTAAATTGTCAAACCAAATTAGGTGTCATCATTTTAGGGATGAGTTATGAAGTTTACATCGATTGTGTATTGGGGTTTAAGTTATAAGCATTTATACCATCTTAACTTGTAAGGTATTTTTTATAAGATAAAATCACGACTCTCAATGAGCAAAAGAGAACAATCCCATGTAACTTGGTATTGATCATGATATTTGATATCATAACTGGCTTTGGAGGTGTCATAATGTATAGATCCATAAGCCTGATGCTAAACATAGATTAAAAAAGTCTCCACCAATCTTTTTTATTTAAGTACGATTGACCACTTAACTGAATCTGTTTCATTTTAAAAAGAAGTCCTTAGCTTGATTTAGGTATCTTTAAATGGTAGATTCTAGTCTACAAAATCAAATTTAAGTTCAAAAGTGCAATTATGCATGAGGAAGGTTATGACACCCTCATAGTGCCCATCCAATGGATGGTATAAATTTGATTTCAAGTTATCCAAGCCTAAAAATATCTTTATAACTTGGCAAATAATTTAATTATAAAAAATTAATCCTAAAATTATTCTAATTGTTTGGTAGTAATTTAAGATAATTTTATCATCTTAAGAGTATTCATGGAGACTAATGTCCCACTCTGAAGAGACTTTGTCATCAGATTCATTTAAATTTTACTTAAAGAAATAATCAGTAAAATCTTTCAATAATTTAGTAAGACTTACTTTAATGCAAATCTCCCAATTGTTTGGTGAAATCTCCCAATTGTTTGGTGAGATTTTATGATAAAATTATGTATGAAATTTATTTTAAGAAAATTCATTAAACATTCCAATAGTTTGGTAAGATCTAATTTTATATTTAAATCATTCAATAGTGTGGTAAGGATTGAAATTTTTTTATTATTATTTTATAAAAAATTCATTAAGTCCTTCAATCTTTTAATAAGACTTAATTCAAGATTTAAAGTCTCCAATAGTTTGGTAAGATTGAAAATTTTATTATTATTATTTTTAAAAAATTCATGAAATCTTACAATAGTTTAGTAACACTTAATTCAAGATTTAAATCTTTCAATAGCTTGGTAAGATTAAAAATTTTATTATTATTTTTTAAAAAGAATTCATTATGAAATTCTCAAATAGTTTGGTAGAAGTAGAATTCATAATTTAAAATTTCTAAACCCATGAAATAAAAAATTCATAATTTAAAACTCACAATCTTTAAATTTTATTTTAAACATACATAAAAAAAAAGTGAAATAAAGGAATAAATATATAAATAAACAAAATGTGAAAATTACCTTAATGGATGGAGACACATATAGGTGGAAATAACCCTTGATCTGTAGTGGCAGATAGTTACCAATTCCAACCAAAGAACTCTGCCACCAATTCCAACTAAAGAGCTCTACCACCAATTCCAACCAAAGAGCTTGAGTATAGATTGCTACTAATCCCTTTCTTAGAGAGTTTCCCTTTGTTTTGTGGTTGATTGGTGTTTATATAGAGCTTTTTGCTATGAATTTTAGAGATTTGCGTTGAATGAAAAGGATAGCATATCTGATTATGTTTTGAATTGATTTTTTTCTTGATTCTCTTTAAAACCAATTTAATTAATTTTTGGAATTATCTTGATTTTTCTTGATTTTTAAAATCCCTCAAAACTTCCTAAATTAAATCTGACTTTGATTCCCTGATTTGATTTCCCTTTAACCTTTCTTTAATATTTGAAAAGATCATGTTTTAGTCTTAATTATTGAAATCATCCTTGATTAGTGCTCGAATTACTCCACAAAGTTCATTGATATGATTTATGATAAAAATTTAAAACCAGATAAATAAAAGACCAAAACATAAAAAAAATAAGACAAACAAGATATAAAAAAAATATAAGAAATTGGATAATTGGGCTTGGATCAGATCTAGACCTAATTGATTTGAGCCTCGGACTAAATAGAGTGTCTATAGCTGCCCTTTTTATACAATTTTTGTGAAATAAGAATTATACAAAGATATATATACCCATTACGTCTGGGCCTAAATTATTCAAAATTTTCCTTTTTTTTAAAGGCTCTTCAAAATGAAGGCACACAATTTTTTAAAAATTAAGGACGATACTCAAAGGTTTTGACAATCATGCTCGAAGGTCTTATAGATCATGTCCGAAAAAACTTGAAGATTAAGTTTAGAGGTCTTACAAATCATTAATTAAAAAATATTTCTTTAAACAAAGGCTACACAATTAAAAAAAGAAGGTACATGAAAGTTTTAAAAAATATGCCTGGAGGACTTGGAGACTACGCCCAGAGGTTTTACAAATCTTGACTCTCAGATAGATTCAGCTCAGAAGACTTACGAATCTTACCTGAAAAACTTAGAGATTATGCTCAGAGGTCTTACAAATCTTAACTCTAGAATAAATTTAGTTCGTAAGACTTATGAATCTTGTTCGGATAACTTAGACATTACGCTCGGAGGTCTTACAAACCAAACTTTGAAAAAGCTCATTTAAATAAAATGTTCAACCACTTTTACAAAAAATGGACATCTAGAGGTTTTTAAGATCATGCCTAGAGATCTTATAGATCTAACCTAGAGGACTTTAAAAAAGTTTAGTAGTTTTAAAGATGTACCTAGAGGTTTTAGGAAGAATTACTTGGAGGTTTTTAGAAAAATTACCTGAAGAGTTTTAAGACTGATACTAAAAATTTTAACAAATATATCATGAGGTAAAATTTTGTTTGATCAAAGTTTTTCTTTTTTTTTTTATAAAAAATTTAAGTCTGTTAGCCTTAAATTGATCTTTATTTTGAAATGGCAAAACATTAAGCTAAATAAGCTTGATCAAGATTTTGAAAAAAATTTATTTAATACATGTTCTTAAGTTTTATTATTTTTGGTACTAAATG